CCCCAGAACCTTGCCAGTTCCGAGAAACATCGGTGAGGCGTTTTACCTCGGCGGGGCGACTTGCCCCGGTCTACCCTACCTAATTGTTCGAGAAATTCAAAGATTTAAAACTCTTCTGGCTGCTTCAAAGTCGTATTGTATCCAGCTTTGAATTCCGGTTGAAGAAAAATCATTGTCCTATTTATCATCACATTTGACATAATTACTCATCGCTCAGCGCTCATCACCAGAACCGGGCATGGCAATAGACGATGCGATATGTTACCTGCAGGCGATCGTTGAATAAACGGGTGTCTCCTGGTAGTCAGATTGTCACGTGCTCAATTGTCTCCCCAATTTCCCCTGTCTCATCAAGTAATGATGATGCTATCAGGTCTACCGGGAATGTCTTTGAACTTTTGAATACAATTTAAACAAATTGCTTTGAAATATCACGCGCTGGAGTGATCTTAGCTTGGTGTTTGTCCTGAAGAAACACAAGTGATTTTAGCCTAAACAAAGCACGAGGACAATTATACACTATCCTCAGTATCATCAAGGATTATTTTATGGTCTGCATGCTCCAGTTACGGGATAAATAAAAATGTTTGAATGAACTGGTTATCTAAAACAATAAGACAATTTACGAACGATTGTATGCCTTTTTATCTAAGAAATAGCCGGATTGGTTGCACTTACCAGCCTATACATCGGAACTAAACGTAAGTACATTTAAAGAGAAGTTAGGAACCTAACCCATGTTAAACATATCCTGATTGAAAGACGATCTATGCAAATGGGTTTGAGGGACAGCTGTAACAAAACGTTAACCGTGATTCGATTATCCTTGCTGTCAGACTGATGTTCGTTTCACCCGTGATTGAATCGATTGGATTGAATTTAAAAAAAAATGTTGAGTCGAAAAAGTTTGATTCAATCCATCGTCAGAATCGTTCGATTCACAAGCTATGATTGAATCGAACGCATTGGCAATCAGGGTTACCGGTTAATACTTAATTGAATAAAAAATTAACGTTTCATGAACTAAAAAAAAAAATGAAGTGAACATAGTTCATTATCAACAATGCACGTGTGCAATGCAACAATGGAGCTGTTGAGATGTAAAAATGCATTATGTAAAAAAAATAGCCAAAATATTGATTTGACTTTTTACAAATCGAATCGAGAAAAGAATTGTTCAAAAATGTTTGACTGAATCAAACGTGAATCGTTCCTTTTTTATTTATTTTGTTATTCTCTGAATCGAAAGGAATCGATTCACCATTTTTTTTTTTTTTTTTGAAGGAATGGAACGGTGATTGAATCGAAAAAAAATCAAATAATACATTGATTGAATCAATACAAAAAAAGGTGATGCAATAACCAGTCTGCTTGCTGTCTTACTATAGCCTTTCCATGTTTCTCAATCTCTCCACCAGTGCTCCCAAAAAGTTGTTCACTGGATTAGTGCATCATTCTCACCTGTAGCCGACGTCTGGTGTAAGTGAGACCTCCGTAGTCTACTGTGCAGTGACCAGCCTCTTCCGTCGACAGGCCAGTGGTCGTGTGAGTAACACAGGTGAACGCATACCACGGGTCCACGCCATAGCAGCTGGCAGTGTTCACAGCTCACTATCAGATAGGATTTGTTTGGTGAGGCGAGAGCCACAAAAGTATAGCGGTAGACTATCACGGATAGAACCATGACATGGTCATTGGTCATTGCTATTCACTGCCAACTTTTGTTCACGGCATACGCGAGCAGCACTTAGCCAAATCCATAAAATGCACCGTCTAGATATGTTTCACTTTATGGCGATGCGCCGCAATACCTCCTCTGGTAGGCTGCGCCGCAATGCTTCCTCAGTGGTAGACTGCGCCGCAATGCTTCCTCAGTAGTAGACTGTGCCGCAATGCTTCCTCTGTGGATCCAGGGGGGGGCATTTGGGGCTAATACCCCCCCCCCCCGCAACGCCCGAAATCGACGAATATTTGCGTTTTTTCGAGAACAAAGCGAAAACGAAACCACTTTTATAAGGCAAGTTTTTTAACGGCACAGCAGTGCGAAGAATCGAAATCCGATGAGTTTTTGAAATTTGGAGAAACTTTTTTGGGGGATATGCCCCCGCAGCGTCCCAGACCGTTTTTTTTTTATCTGCCAATGCAACGCTGCCTTAGTGGTAGACCGCACCGCAATACCTACATCTCTGGGGTAGACTGCACCGCAATACCTCGGACTCTGGTAGACCGCACTACATTATAGACTGCACCGCAATACGTTCTCTGCGGCAGTGTACGGCCCTCCAGCAAAAGAGTGGTTGGTTAGCCTATGTGCTTTTGGTGTAATAACTTTGAATGACAGAGACACTCCTGTAATATGACTCAACATAAATGAGAAGAGGGTTCGTGTACACAGTTCGCCAATGGTTTTCAACAGCCATTAGACGTATTCATCAATGCACATCGCTTATTGTGATATTGGCAACCAACCACTTAATACCTGGAGGGCCGTACCTATTCCTATTGCATATTTCTTCCACGACATTGCACCGTGAGCACATTCCAAAAAGGCCACTATCTTACCTATTATAGAATGAAAATTAAAATGTAAAAAAGCACTGCAATCCCTCTCTCAAGCCCAAACTGAGCGACTGACCATCCCGCTGCATTTCTGTCTGAGGATGACGTCACAAACCTCTGTACAGCGGCATCCGTAGGATGCAGTGTGGGTGGGTTCCCACACCCACCAGACCCATAAAACTCGCTTTGTGGCCCGATAACTCAGTGACATTTCAGTCATATTGTCTGGCGTATAGATTTCCTGATAAGCTTTGAAATGTACTCTACGACTGACTACGGGTTTTATTGGTTTTGAATTTCATTTTATTTCCAGTGTAACTATCAGCCATAACGTTTTCAGCAATCGATGAGATATTATTTGCTGCTGCCTTCAGTAGCGGCGGAACACCTTCAATTAAGGGGGGGGGGGGTACCGCCGACTTATGGTCCCATTCTTTCCATGCAACACTAATAGGGCTAATGTTAAAATGCCAAAATCAAAGGGAGGCTATGTACCCCGGTGCCCTCCCCGTTCCGCCGCCTATGGCTGCCTTATCTGTTATCTTTTAACTCTAAAAAAGTTGTGCCTACCGTCTGCCTGATGCAAGCAAATGTCGTTCCATTTTGACTCTGGTGCTCGCTGTCACTTGCTCCATTTGCAGTAGCTGTTGCCACCCTGCTGCAACCTAGTCTGACCGGGGTGCGACCTTCTTGTGCAGCAGGTGGCACCAAGCGCTTCCACTGAGAGGGTGAGGGCGAGACAGACGAGGGCTGACACAGGTGCGGCGGCCGTACCTCTTCCAGTGCTCACATTTGTCACCGGCTACAGCGGCCGGGGGCGGGACTGCCACAGGGTCGTATACGGCGCCACTGCGGCATATACGGCGCCACTGCGCCGTTCCGTGGCGCAGCACGCTGATATCTGCCCGGCGGGAGGCAGCGCGGCGGCGGCGGCCGTGCAGACGGTGCTGGGGCGGAGACGAATCGGTTCCGGCACGCCACTCGGCAACAGGCAAGGGAGCAGCCGAGCAGGCTACGTGCAGTCATGGCGCGGTCATTCACTGCGTTGTGGTGTAAGGACCGGCGGGTGATGCTATCTTATCCTATGTTTATGACTTTATTGTTTACGTACACAATTTTGCAATGACTGTACTTCCTACTGAAATGAAGCCTTGGTGTTTATGGTCGCCCAAAATTGAATCATCACATTTTACAAATACCTATTGCCTTATTCTCATTGCAACCGGATTGAGCATATTCTGCTCTTTTTGATTAAATTGAGTCACTCTCTTTACAGAAAAACCTTAGCATCGAATGCATCGTGTTTGTGCAGCTCTCCACATAGCGTTTGGTCAGCCAATGGTGCCCAATTAGGTAATCGAGCCATGTTAACCACGAGCCCACTGAAGTATCGAGTGCAGTCGCTACCCACGGCCGATGACCTCAGTGCAGCTAACAGGGCGTGGCACGGCGTTGGTATGCATGCACTGCAGAGCTGTTAGCAATGAGAACTAGATGATGCCGAAGATAATCAGCTGTATGAGATTGTAGGAGGGTGTAACAAACTCACGGCACATTTATAAAAATGGGAGAGCCGAGAGCCTGGCATAAGATGTGCAGCAAGTTTCAAACATTCCTCGTTGTCTCTTGCCTAAGCATATTACTGTACAAAGTGTTCATAGTTTATACGTTACGGAAGAACTGTGATAAAATGTAGATAGGTATACACAAAATCGCTATATGCACCTGTATTCGTTTGGAAAAAAACAGCATATTCAGAATTCAGAAAGCAGATTTGGAAACTCATTTATCTAATGCAAAGCAAGTTAATAAAGCGATAAAAAGATATTTCAGCCTCTTTTCTGCGGGTTCAGATAAAACACGTTTATATGAAGGCAAAAGTAAACATATGTTTTTCTTTTTTACAAAGTAGTTCTTGCCTATCATTTAGTGAAAAGCCCGAAAAAGAACCACGACAAGGGAAAAGTATATGTTTTGTTATGATGTCTAGCATTCCAAAGTCTTCGATCCGATAAAACGGTAAAAATGCCCAATGGTTTATTTTTGACCCACCTAACAACAACCCAGAAGTAAATGAACTTGTCATCCTCATTGGCAGCGCCGATTGTTTGTTGTTTAAATTTGCAGACGGCGCTTACTCACAGTCTCATCCATGACGTATTCCTTGAATCAAGTAGGTAAGTACCTACAGCTTCATCTGGCGCCAGTTTTATGTAGAAACAGTCACTTCAGTTTGTAGTGGTTGGCAGTCGGTGGAACCCCGCGACTCTGACTCAGCCTCTGACCCCAAACAGCTGTGACCTCTGGTCAGCTGTCCCCCTCTCCGAGCGGACAGTTTCGTTGGTCCACTCTGTTGGCGCTGCCTCGCTCCCATCAATCATTACACGTTGTCTCTTGGCGTCCTCCGTTGGCGAGGTGTACGGACGCGCCAGCTCCGAGCTTTGGCGGCGGCGGCGGCTCGGGCGGGGGCGGGGGCGGGGGCGGCGGTGACCGGGGCGGCTCCTGACCAGCCGCCAGCAGTCTGGGCTGAGCCGTGGCAGCACAACGTGGTGATCTAGCCGCCTCAGCAGGAGCTGACCTCGCCCGCTCGGTCTGACCTGACCTGACCTGGCCGAGCGTTAGTAGTGAAGACGAGCCATGGCCGCTGACTGGAGACTCACAGTGCTGTGGTTGGCTCTCCTGCAAGTGACAGCCGGAGCTAAGATACCCTGGTGGAGCATCAAAATCGCCAGAGAGCAGGGGTACGTGTTGAATAGTGGGGTTTCATTTTTTATTTTTACTATTGTTGACTTGTTTGAAACGTTCTTGTTTAATAATACAATTTTTATGTCCAGACCAAATTGAGATGTGCAATTTGTTTGGGGACCTACACAGTACACAGTGCGCAGTTTCATAACATTATTTCTTTATGTTTACTGGCTCAAAAAGAAATATGTGTAGGTATGACTATGCCTTGGTCAGTTCTATGGTTGCCAATTGAATTCAAAAGTATCTTATGCTTTATTAAATGGAAGCATAGGAAAATTCGTATATCGTATACCCTTATCGCATGCAACAAACCTTTTAGCAAACACCGATTGAGCTCCGAAGCTTCGTCTCCTGCTTCTGCCAAAATAGGCAATATACCTAATGTGGGTTAATGTTTTGGCGACTTCCACAGCGTCATCAACTAAATCTGATTGGATTGTTTTGCACGAAATACGTGCGAATAAATCCATCGGTATAGGAAAGCACAGACAGCTTCAGCGGAGAAATCCAATATAAAGCTTGTCGTAGCGCCGTAAGCAGAAATAAATTGTTAAAACGACTATTTTTTGTATATTTCAAGCAAATTTCCTGTCTGCTTGCAAAACTAAAAGTTTATTTGACTAATGTGCCGTGACGGAACAATTATGATGGTCGTCAAATATTAAAATCCGCGCCGGCAAGCAAAAGGAGCACCCGAAATGCCCTCATATAACAGTAGATTGGTCGGGATCTAGCTTTGATTAGATCAAAGATCAGTTCGCCACATAGGCGGCGGAACGGGGAGGGCACCGGGGCACCGTGCCCCCCTTTGATTTTGGCATTTTAACATTAGCCCTATGGGCGTTGTATGGAAAGAATGGGACCAAAAGTCGGCGGTGCCCCCCCCCCCCCTTAATTGAAGGTGTTCCGCCGCTACTGGTTCGCCAGGAGCACTTACGGCCCAATTTTTCCGATTTTTTTTTGTTGTGATTGTTACATTTGCTCACAAGATGATAACTTTGCGTGCCAAGTGCCAACTAATAAAGCCGTATAACATTGAAAAAAGTTCGATCCCGTCGAATATTTTCTTCTCTAGTGGAACAAAAAGGCAGAGAGAAGAGATAGTCAATATAAATACAAAAAAGAGCATAAAATGAACAAGACGATTCTCTTTTATGCTACACAAAGTAAATCGTTATGGGCGAAACGAACATGTTAAACGTGCAAACGAATGCACCTCTAGCAGCGCATCTACATATATGTACTGAAAATAACTTCGAAAAACTTTTCCGGGAAGGATGAGCGGCAGCCATGGTTATTTCTTCGAGTGACTCAGGTGCTCATTTTGGCCGCGGTCTGTGCTTACCAGACAACGTGAGGTAGGCTTCCAGGGTAATATTTGACTTGGCACTAGCACTGTTTTCCGATCAATCGTCGCCACTTCGCACTGCTGCTACCTAACATCAGAAATAATTTAGATGGGTTATATTGAGCTCCCAGTTGTTAGCATTAGAAAGTGCATTGTTCGAAGTTAAACATTCGTTATCTTTGCGGGATTTCAATGGGAAAACTAACTGCTGAGACCAGACTTGTAAGCGATTCAATTATGATTGAATCGATTCTCATGAATCGCTTGAAAATGCCGACTCACTGTGATTGAGTCGGTTGAATCACCTTGTCGTACTGCGCTGTGGGTAGCGCGTGGCTGGACGGACGGTCTGTGACAATCTATTGATCTGTGGCTGATCTATTAGAGTGTCCGTCCGAGAGCCGTACGACGGCTGACAGAGCCTGGGGGTCGCGAACTGGTGTGGTAACCGTTACGCCCACCTGGGACGCCCGAGTCGGTACGGCACTTGCGGTGTCGTAACCGGATCGGCGGGAACCAGCAGAACGCTGTTGGACCGACGGTGAAAGTCGGAACCGAGCACTCGCCCACCAGTGGGGCGTCTGGTCGAGCAGGTCTACCCGCTAAGGCAGCCTGAGCACGAACCAGTGGCAGGGTCCGATCAATGACCGTGGTCCGACCAGGGTGTCAGCGCAATGGCCAGTCAGAGGCGTCTTTAAGGGCGCGGAAGCCCACCTCGGTCGACTGTGGCCGGTGCAACCTAGTCAGGTCGTTTGTGTGAATCTCCGTGTTCTTCCATTGCCTCAGAGTAGCCGCTCTTCTCCAAATGCCCGAGCCGTTTTCTATGTGTATTGGTCTTGCAGCGAACAGCAGAGTCGAAAAACGAATTGACAATGTCGCCGAAAACCGCGGTCACATGCTGGCCGTCCCTAGTACTACCAATATGCCCGCAGGCGCGGCGAGAGACAAGCTTAACGTATGAGTCACCGTCCGGCTGCCGGGAGAGCCCCTACCGCGACCTTTGCTCACAGTCATGACGTCACGACAATGGGCTCCTAAACGTACGGGCAGCGGCCGCCTCAGGGGTGCCGCCGTGACCTTTGCACGACACGTTCTATAGCGTATGGCACAGCGGTTACTAGGAAGGCTGAGGCCAGCGGCAGGCCGGTTTACAAATAACAAACAAACTTGACGCGCAATTGACAACAGGTAACAGATTGATTAATAAGGCGGTGACAATATAAATAAAAATGACAACATGAAATGACAAATCGCATAGATGACAAATCGCATAGATGACAAATCGCATAGATGATCCCTACAGTACCCCCTCGCCAGACATGTCGCGGACAAAAGTGACATGGCGATATCTTACCGGAGGTCGTATGACGCGGCCGGAGCGGGTCGTCCGTAGTATCGGCCGAGGCTGCAATGGTGCAGCGTCAGCCCGAGCGACGGCTGTAGGGCGAGTTGGTGCGTCACCGTAGATCAGAAGCTCCGGGCCGCTGGGCTCATTGCTGAGCGGTGGCGCGGCCGGCGGGCCGCTGGACTGAGTACCGTGCGGCTGCACAGTTGGCAGGTCAGACTGTCGATGACCGGATTCGTCTGGCGTCTCCAGGAAGGCGGCCTTACACCGGTCGATGCTGATGACCTCCTTTTTCTGTCGACGGTCGATGGTGATGGTTTTGGTGGTCCTTTCGGCAACCGGGAACGGTCCGTCGTATGGAGCGTCCAGCGGGTAGCGGTGACAGTCCCTGCGCACGAAGACGTGTGTCGCCGTCTGGAGTGCCGTCGGGACGTACGTGGCGCGCTGGACCGGACGTGGGAGTGTCGGCCGCACCTGAGACATGGCGCGCTTCAGGTCTTGTACGAAACCGGCCGGTGATGCTGCTGAGGCTTGGCTGCTGATGAAGAACTCACCAGGAAGCCGCAGTGAGGAGCCGTACACCAGCTCGGCTGACGTCGCCTGCAGGTCCGCCTTGATGGTGGAGCGGATGCCCAGGAGCACCAGCGGCAGCACGTCCGTCCATGACGTAGCCTGGTGTGCACGGAGGCTGGCCTTCAGCTGGCGATGCAGGCGTTCCACCATACCGTTGCAGGCCGGGTGGTAGGACGTCGTCCGAGTTCGCTGGCAGCCCAGGAATCGCTGTAGCTCCGACCAGAGGGCCGACTCGAACTGGGCGCCTCGGTCCGTCGTGATGATGGACGGAACGCCGAATCGGGCGATCCAGTGCTCGAGGAAGGCGCGGGCGACCGTGGTGGTGCGGATGTCCGGCAGAGGGATGACTTCTGGCCACCGAGTGAACCGGTCGACGCACGTCAGGAGGTACGAGTGCCCTCTTGACGGAGGCATCGGGCCGACGAGGTCCACGTGGACGTGGTCGAAGCGTTGCTGAGGTGGCTGGAAGGTGCCGACGTCAGACTTGGTGTGCCGGCCGATTTTGCAGCGCTGACAGGCGAGGCAGGTTCGGGTCCAGCGGCGCACGTCGCGATCCATACCGGGCCAGACGAACCGCTTAGAGATGAGCTTGACGGTGGCCTCGACGCCAGGGTGCGACAGGTCGTGCAGAGCCTTGGCGAAGGGCCGGCGCAGAGCCACTGGGAGGACCGGCCGAGGCGATCCGGTGGACTCGTCGCATAGCAGACGGAGTCCATCGCCGACCGGGATGTGGCGCAGGCGCAGTGAGGTGTCTGAGGCCTCGAGGTCTTCCAGCGAGCCGTCTTCGGACTGGGCCTTGGCGATGGCAGTGAAGTCGGCGAGCGGGGGGCGCGGCTGGGCCACCATCGAGACCGTGCGTGACAGCGTGTCGGCGACCACGTTGTCCTTGCCAGGCACATGGCGGATGTCCGACACGAACTGGCCGATGTAGTCCAGGTGGCGGACCTCTCGTGGCGAGTAGCGGTCGGACGAGGAGCCGATGGCCGTTACCAGTGGTCGGTGGTCTGTGAAAATGATTGCTGACCGTCCTTCGATGGCGTGTTTGAAGTGCCGGACGGCCAGGTACATAGCGAGCAGCTCGCGCCCGAACGTGCTGTATTTCTTCTCCGCAGGTTGGAGCGTTTTCGAGAAGAAAGCGAGGGGCTGCCACTCGCCGGCGACGTGCTGCTGGAGGACGGCGCCCACTCCGCAGTCCGAGGCGTCGACGAAGATGGCGAGCGGCGCGTCCGGGACCTGGTGAGCGAGGTGCGTCGCCGCGGCCAGGGCGTCCTTGACGTTCTGGAAACGCTGCCGCGCCGAGTCTGTCCACGTGACAGGCGCTCTCGAGCGTTTTGCCTTGTGGGTGATTAAGGCGTGCAGAGGCTGCAGGAGCTCGGCTGCCTGGGGGATGAAGCGGTGGTAGTAGGCTACCATCCCCAGGAACCTCCGTAGCTGGGACTGAGTGGTCGGTTCCGGGAAGTCTTTGATGGCCTCGACTCGTCCAGGCAGCGGGCGGACGCCGTCGGCGTCTACCGAGTGGCCGAGGAACACCACCTGCTCCTGTCCCAGGACGCACTTGTGCCTGTTGACGACGACGCCGTAGGTGTTGAGGCGCTGAAGCACTTGGTCCAGGAGCTGCAGGTGGTGTTCGGCAGTCGGGCTGGCCAGCAGAATGTCGTCCAGGTAGACGAAGCAGCCCGGTATGCCGCGGAGGACCTCATCCATGAAACGCTGGAAGGTCTGTCCGG